AAAATAAATTAGATCTTTAACTTTCTAGAAGAATTTTGTTTGAATTTCAATTTAAAGCAACTTAAATGTCCAATGACATTATAGTAATCAAGAATACCATTACGTATTAACAACAGAGGAACAACATGTATTAAAAGCAATAGCATATTTTGAATTTTACATGTCTTAATACAGGATGGCTGCTTAGCCTGTTAATTCTCTCAGCTGCCCTCCCTTCCCCTCCAACATGATTTTAACCTATTTAACAAACCCATGGACCATGTTGACACATAACATGTTTAAATGAAATGATGTTGTTTTCAAAAATCAAAAATACACGACACAAATACTCTCTCTTATGCATACTGTTGGCAATTTCGTTAACAGAAGTAGAAAGAGAATTTATAGTATAAATAAGTAAAATCCATATTCTTTAGGTCCCTTAAAAAAATCTTTAAAATGTCTTATGTTCATATTTTTTAATTTACATTTTCTCAAGTCCTGAATCAGACTTTAGTCTCACTTATGCAAGCCTCTCCCAGGTGTTGCTGCTTGTGATTTAACATAGAGTTCTCCTTCCAATTATGATCATAAATAGTTCTCCAGTGCTAGCAATTACATAGACTCTCAATTCTAGTATTCGAATTTCAATTAAATGACAAGATTCCTTAAAATGTTAGTTTTCTGACTCTCTTAGTTGCATATGTCACACAAACAGTTTATTAACTTTCGTGCACACAAATTTGGAGTCTATAGCCATTTCGTAAATAAATGTGCACCCACAGTAAGTGGTGTTTTTAATAAAGTCACATAAGTGGTGCTAAAGTGAAACCCTGACACCATTCCATTACCATCTCTTTGGAAAACACCTAGTCATTCCTTAGGACAGGCAGTCGGCTTGCTTCTGTCATCACTTGTTTTTAGGAGTTAGGGCTCTATTACGTTACCACCGCTCTCATATTTCCCATCCCTCCCCCCCTTTTTTAGAGAAATTTGACAGCTTACAGAATTTCTGTAACAATTTCTTAATTTTGAGAGTACGAAAATTTAAAAAAAAAGTGAACTGCCTAGCATCTTCGGCTGATTGAATGCTTTTCTTTAAACTTCTGTCTTTCACATTGCCACCTTAACTATTCTTCCAGCTACGTGTCTTAAAAGATGTGATGGAGAAGTTAGCAACTGGTGTTTTTAGGTACGCTGAATTACCAATCATTGTTGTTCTTTATTTTTCTGTTCTCAAGGGGATAAGGCTGGCATTTTTGTTTCAGCTTTCACAGCACACCTATTGCCTCCATATTTTAGTATTTTGTTTAAATAGCTGCTCCTTAACATTTCTCTAACATTTTTTTTATTGATTTCAGAGAGGAAGGGAGAGGGAAAGAGAGATAGAAACATCAATGATGAGAAAGAATCATTGATCGGCTGCCTCCCGAACGCCCCCCACTGGGGATCAGCCCGCAACGGGGCACGTGCCTTGACTGGAATCGAACCCGGGACCCTTCAGTCCGCAGGCCCATGCTCTGTCCACTGAGCCAAGCCCGCAAGGGCGTTAGCATTTCTCCGGGTGACACACCAGTAAGTGTCCCTGAGTTTTCCTCACTCCATTCCACACCTACCTCATCGCCCCTCCCAAAGCAACCTGAAATACAGCTTGAGAAGAGGGAAAAGTTAAAGTTTTTTATCTATTTATCAAAAAGAGGGATGCCGAAACCGGTTTGGCTCAGTGGATAGAGCGTTGGCCTGCGGACTGAAAGGTCCCAGGTTCGATTCCGGTCAAGGGCATGTACCTGGGTTGCGGGCACATCCCCCAGTAGGGGGTGTGCAGGAGGCAGCTGATCGATGTTTCTCTCTCATCGATGTTTCTAACTCTCTGTCTCTCTCCCTTCCTCTCTGTAAAAAATCAATAAAATATTTTTTTAAAAAAAAAAAGAGGGAGCTGATTTCCCCTTTAAAATGCAACCACTTGTGTCTGGCTGGAAGCTGGCCGTCATCCTGGGCACCCGAGGCCGCGGGTTCAGTTCCCGCCGAGCACGTGCCCAGGATCGGGGCGAGACACCTCCCGGGGCTGCAGGAGGCAGCCACCCGCTCCTCGCTCACATCAGTGTTTCTAAGTCAATAAAAACATTAAAAAAAAATTAACGACTTTTGATGGTGGACACACTAGTGGACAAGTTCGCATTAAAGTGATGCGATGGCATAAGCAGGTCCCCGCGCCCGCCCATGTCTGCTGGTCTGATCATCTCTCTTCCGCAGGCCTCGTCTGGATGAGCCCATCCCGCCATATGAGGCCAAAGTCTCCATGGAAGGTGTCCAGAAAAATCAAGGAAGAAAAAAGCAAGTTGTTCAGTTTTAATTTTGTTATCTCCCAGATCTCAGTTGAATGAACCCATTCCAGTATTTGAAGCCAGAGTTTCCTTGGAAATTGTTCAGAAAAGTGAAGGAAGATAAAAGCAAGTTGTTCCATTTTTAAGCATGCTTTCCTGCTATCTGAGACGAGATGGTGATTTATTTCAAATACCTGAAACGTATTTGAAAAGTTAATGTACAAACAGCCGAGACCAGTCTGTAATTAACACCTGAAGGGAATATTCTGGAAGTCGTCTCAGTGCCTGTGTTTATATAGCTGCCTCCGAGATAACCTTCTTTCCAGGAAGAACACGAGTTTCGGCAAAAGCCACGCTGCCTCCTGATAGGCCGTCAGCGCTGCCTATCAGCGCGCCGGCCCCGCCCACGCCGTCCTGGCGGCGGAC